ATTGCTGCTATGTCTGCTCGTATTCAGAAAATGGAACGAGCTCTCGACTTAACCAAGTACATTCAGCAGGTTGAAAAGCTACTGGCTCAACCCATAAAGTGAGTCGGAAGAATTCTTCTTATTGATTCTATTTCCAGCTGGTTCAGTTGTTTCTTCTGATTTCCAATTTACCTACGTCTATATATCTCTGTTAATTTCCCTCTCATTTGACTTGATGCTGTAACTTTTCCTCGGAGAAAGAAAGTCTACTGTTCCCACAAAATATCGGCTTTTCTCCTTTTTTCCACCCGTGCTGATTTGTTCATCGTTTTCTGTACGCTGATTAGCCCACATCGCAATTCTGTGTCCACGTGATCAATCTTTGGAATTCGATATCTCCGCTCGTTTCGCACTTCAACCACGTATCTATTGCTACTGCTTGCCGTGGCGAACTACCCTTGTTATCCAAAATGGAAGTTAATTACTGTCCATTACTAGAATGAGTCACGTATTGACTTATTCTTATAACTTTTGGCCCTGTTTTCTGCAACCATTTCGCTCGTTGCGTTATAGCCTAGAAGTTAAAATTCAGGAATTTTTACTTTACTAGTCAGTGATTTTCTAAAATGGTTTCACCCGAGTTTTATGCCTCTGGTTTTGCATATCATGGTTCCAGATGCAGACGCCTTTGAAACGCTTTACCGCTATCACAACGAATGTTTTACCTATTAAGGATCCCTGGTTCAACGTTAGTTCATCAACAAACTCGTGGTCTTTCTGGTAATCGACGACCTAGCATATTTTCCGCAAAGGGAATTTACCCTACGGAAGAAATCCGGAAACACAAGGTAATTTATTTTGAGAATTCTTCCATCCTTACGATGACTACTTATGAAACTGTCCTTCACCGAAAGAATCCTATTTCATGCTTCAGCTCTCCAAATTGTTTAACTTCCAACACGTGAAGGAGCGAGAATGGCTTCAAGAGATCTTACTGGAAGAAAGCGATTCGGATGATGACGGTGCGTTGACTTTTAAATTGCTCTCCATTCGTGTCAATGTAAGAATGCGTTCATACATTTCGGCAGCGTTTTGAGCGTCTGTCAGCGTTTTCACCTATAATTGATACCTATATTATTTATTTATTACATGATGTGACTCATGTGTGTACATTTCACAGTAGCCGCCAGATCCAGCGTTTTTAGCGCTGGTGGACGCTCCATATGCTGGAGCGGTACCTATACAGGTCACTGAAGACGCTGACAGACGCATAAACGCTAGATCGATACCTACAGCTTCCTAGTCGCTTTCTATACTTTCCTATGCCGCTTTAATTGCTGACAGTCCCTCGGAGTGCTGCCGCAAAATATGACCATACTCCAAGCCTCATCGTGAAAGCAACAGGAATTCTCTTATATGAATCAAAGTTTCCGGTTCATACCTTTTTCTGCCTTGGAATTTATGCGATTTACGTAACCAGACCTTAAAAGCCGACGATATCGGGTAATTACCTTGCTAGTTGTTCCCACCAAACTTCCGACTTTCTCGAATTTGCTATCGCCCATGCCTGGTCTAGGAGATGTTTGCGGGTTTTCGACGTTACCCAGAAAGGCAAGGCTCTTCTTGGGTTTTCTTCCATACTGGTCGCCCGCGCCGAAATACTTCTCAAATGTGCTTTTGGTTTACCTTTTTTTG